AAAAAAGGATGGACACATCTTCGAGTTTGAAAAACATATGTGAGTTTATTTAGCAACAACAAGACATTTGTGTGACAATCGACGAGTCATAAGATCGATTGAAGTTTTAGTTTAAAGTTTCATTTGTTATAATATTTTACTGAGTGTTAGCAAAAATTGAAAGTCATTTTTTATTTTATTTTATTAATTGGATCATGAAAGCTTTTACATTTTAAATTTGTGATTGTGATTTGTAAGGGTTTATCTACATACAATCAATGTGAAGGTAACGAGATTCTAGTCAGTGGGTTCAGGAAGATGTGGAGCAGGCTTGCTTTTGAGGTTTGGTAGAACCACATAAAATTCTCTTGCTTACTTTTTGTTTTATGCATTTTTAATTTCATGAAATTTTCTCAAATTATTAATCATTTAAAACTTTTATTATTATAATTTCATTTTAAAAATTTTGCTATGCCAATTCACTCTCCTCTTGGTGTGTCATAACCTTCAGACTCATTTGAAAAATATAATCTGACATAAGACATAAATTTCTTCTTTTTTTTATACGACATAAGAAGATGAATAATTCTACTAACAATGTAACTAACACGTCATCATACTAAGAAATGTTTTGTTTAGCGATTGAAAGAAGTTGTTTATTAAAAAAATTCTTATTATTCTTATCTAATAAATTCTCAGAATATTTTTGCTCAAGTATTGAGAAGTGAACAATTACTTGATTCTCAGTATCTTTTTTATCCACCATCTCAATATCAAATTCATGTAATAGAAGTATCAATCAACTTAAGCTATGTTTGATATCCTTCTTAGTTACAATATATTTTATAGTTGAGTGGTTAGTGTAAACCTTAATTTTGGCACATATCAGATAGGATGTAAATTTATTAAATGGATATATTATACTTAGTAACTTTTCCAATGGTAGTGTCATTAATTTGAGCTTCACTAAGATTTCTACCGACATAGCATATTACATGAAAATCTTATCTCATTAGCCAAAAAAATCCTACAGCAAAATCATTAGCATCGCACATAAGCTCAAAATGATATTCCCAATCAGGTCCAAATATCATGGGTGCAGTGATTAATTTTTTTTTTTTAAATATTCAAATGATGTTAAACACTACTTATCAAAAATAAAGGGCACATCATTTTCTAATAAGTGACACAGTGGTTTAAAAATTTTAAAGAAGTTCGTAATATATCTATGGTAGAATCCTATATACCCTAAATAACTATTAATTCCTTTCAACGATGTAGGATGGAGTAATTTTCTATAACATGAGTCATAGCCTGATCTACCTTCATTCTTGCCTCAAAAATTTTATGCCCTAGAACTATCCCTCTGTGACCATGAACTTGATTTTTTTTTTATAGCTCAATATAAGATTAGTCTCTTCACACATTTACAAATATAAAAAAAATTATCCATGAACACCTTAATCTCCCTCTCAATAAGATCATAATATATGGACATCATGCATCTCTAGAAAAGTGGCAGAGGCATTGCATAGTCTAAAGAGTATCCTCCTAAAGTCAAATGTATCATAGAGACTAGTGAATGTGCTTTTGGATTGGTTTTATGATGCTATAGAAATATGGCAGTATTCTAAATATCTATCTCAGAAACAAAAAATACTTAGGTCATGTTAATTTATTTTACATGTGATCTAGAAAGGACGAGAGAAATGATCCTTTATAGTAGCTTCATTCAGCTTCATATATTCAACACAAATCATTCATCATGTGACACTCCTAGTAGGTAAAAGTTTATCCTTTTCATTTTCTATTTTAGTCACTCATTTATTTAGAACAAAGAGGATTGGGCTTATCCAAGCACTATCAAATATGGGATGTATTTCTCGTCTCCTTTTTTATTGCATCCTTCATAACTGTGCTAAGCCTCATTTATGGATCAACCTTGGATAAATAATTTTCTTTCTTAAGAATCTCTTGCATACATAAGTAATGGCTTATTCCTTTAATATCTGCAACACTCAACCTAAAAACTTTCCTAGAACTCCTCAAAACCCTCATTAACTTTGTCTCTTGTAACACACTTAAATCAAAAGAAATGATGATAAATAAATTTGAAGATTCTCCTAAAAAAGCACACGTCAGGTGCTTATGAAGAATCTTAAGTTGTAAATCAAGTCTTAATTATAAAAAGAACTAAAGTTTTGGAAGTAGTTGAGATATCTAATGTCTCAAACCTATCACCAATAACTATAAGGATTGTATTTAACAATAAAGCTCATTCTTCATTAGGGTTTTCGTAATTATGCTCGATCAAATTTTGCTCTATTGGGTTCATTTAAAAAATTTCACAGATTTGGCTTCTACCACATCTACTTTATTACATGTATCATCCTTAGAGTCTTGGGAAAACTTCATTGATTTCAAAATATTAAAAGCAAACTTGTGATCATTAACCCTCATTATAAGTTCTCCTTTCTGAACATCAATTATGACCCTTCATGTAGCTAGAAAATGTCTAATTATGATAATAAGGTTTTCATTTTCTTCCCCTATATCTAAAACAATAAAATCAATTTGAAAGATGAATCTATCTACCTTAACAAGCATATCTCCTATAACCCCTTAAGATAGGTAAGAGAACACTTAACTAATTGATGGGTTAGAATTATAGGTTGGACTTCTCTTAATGTTAACCTCCTAAAGATAGACACAGGCATGAGGTTGATGTTGACCCATCAATCACACCAGGCTTTACCAAAGAATTTCTCTCCTATGAAACAAAGAATGGTGAAGTTACTGGATCCTTAATTTTTAATGGAAGTTTCTTTTGTAGGGTAGCACTACACTTTTTAGTAAAAAAAAATCTCATAATCACCAAGTTTTCTTTTTCTATTAAGCATGGCATCCATAAACTTAATATAACTAGGAATTTCTTCTAAGGCTTCTGTAAATGGGATTTTATGATTAGTTTTTAAACACTTTTAAAAATCTTAAGAATTTTTTATCTTATTTTTATTTATGAAGTCTATAAGAAATTGGTGGGCATTGTAACTTTTGTTCTTTCCTGTAAGATGAAGGTGATTTTCCTAATTTTTGTGAAGTTTCTTGAGTAGGTTTCTCACACTCAAACTCAGGCTCTTCTACTCTAGGCTCCACAAGTTCTTTTCCACTCCTAAGTATAATGGCTTTACACCGCTCCTCTTTTTATTTGGATCCACTTTAGTCACGGAGTAGTGTCCCTTGGGGTCTACTACTAAAGGAATTTGTTTTTTGTACCAATTAATTTTCACTATTTCTTATGGTTGCACCTTAACTTTGCAATTGATTCCCTACTGATAAGATATATATATAATCTAAAGTAGATTAAAAGCAATATATTACAAAATATATTTTTTCCCTGGTTGTGGTGAAGGGAGTGGATGTGGCCATATATATATATATATATATATATATATATTTGACCTTATAATCATTAATCTTTATTTTACAGTGAACCAAATAACTAAAAAATATTTCAAATACTTTGTAATCATGGTAGTCTACAAACCTTTTATATTGCATGCTATTTTCGGTAAACCAAATAACCCATAAGGAATTAGGTTGGTTACTACCTACGGTTAATTTCCTAAAATTTGATTATTATTTCAATTGAAATTCAAGTGATTTCTCCATCCTAAGTTATAATTATTGGATAGATCAAAAACTTTATAAACACATCACTGGGATCCACTAATTGTTCAGAAGCATCCTCTTTAATTACTAGTGATCTTAGTACATAATTTAAGCCTGGGTTGCCTATTTTGTTAGAAATTTCATCTACCTGAGTAGTGAAAATTGATAGAATATTATGTTTATGCATGTTGACAACCATTTTAGGGTTCACTCTCTCAGAAGACCATTATAATTTATTGATATCATATCCTCTATAAGTGCATAAACCTCCTTAAATAGTTTAGACATCAAAGACCCCAATAGCAAATTAAGTAGGATGTGTTGTGGATATTTCTTAAGCAACTCTTTATATCTCTCTAAGGCTTCATATATGGTTTTATCATCCAATTGGGCAAAATATGTTATGTCATTTTTAATAAGTTTGGATGTTTTGGAAGGAGGAAAGTATTTGGCTAAGAATTTCAGTGTGAGACCATTCCAAGTGTTTACAGACCCTCGTGCTAATTAATTGAGACACATCTTAGCATTTTTTTAAGCAAAAAGGAAATAACCTAGTTTTAATATAATCAAAAGAGGCACAATTATACCTAAAGGCCTCACATAACTCTAAAAACCAGACTATGCATAAATTTGGGTCCACAATAGGTGAACCTCCAAACTCTTAGTTGAATATGAGATGATATCTTCATCCCTTCACTAGCGAAAGAAGTGTGTTGGTGCTCAATTTTTTTCATCCTATGAGATATCTAACCCTTTTAAGTGCTTGAAATTAACATCTAAACTGATGTCAAGTATTGTGTCAAAGTAGGCAACTCTATATGTATGTGTCAATGCATAGTCTACAACTCAAATCAAAATTAAATATTTATTGTCTTAACGACTCTTCACCAATGTCACCAACCAACCTCTAACCTCTAGTCTCTTGTCAAACATTTTTTTTATCTTATCACTTTCATCATATTATTACATTATGATCTCAACTTCTCTAGTTGAGGGAAAAGTTATTTTAACACAATAAGATTATTTTAGATCTTATTTAACATCATATAAAAATAATAATAAAGCCCCCTGAAAATCCAATTATTGCATTGCCATTTCGAGGCTACCGCTCCTTCACGATGCGGTTGCCTAAATTATTATTACCGGCAAAAAACTCTGCACACGCCTGCGGCCATCCAAAACCATCTCAGCCGTCCATCCGTGTCAGATCACCCTCCGCTGGAGAAACTCTTACATGCTTCAATGCCAGCTCGGCAAACCTGCACAGCACTGTTGAAACAAAAGTTCTGAGACTTTATTTCTTCTATTTTTTGCAATAATCTATAAATATAATTATGCTCTCTGAAGATTAATCAAAAGAAAATCCCTGGTTTGGCGGGATGCCCTTTTTCTTAAACTCCCCGAGTCCCAAATCTGCACTCTCTGTGGATCTCAACTCCATCTTCGATCTCTAATTATCTCTTTCTTGGCTAAATCTTGACCTCGCGCTGTTGATGGATTGAGAGCAGTTCGGGTGTCATCGGTCTCGATCGTTGTTGAGATTTCTTGATGAAGATCGGCGTGGCGTCGGTTGAGCAACAAGCAGCAGATCCAGGAGTAGGTGAGATCTGTTTTCAATACCCGCTCCAACTTTCACTCTCACTCTACCGTCCGAAGTCGCTTTTGTCTACTCGATTTGGCAATGGTTACTAGGCAGAGTCTAGCTTCTATGGACTGGTCTACTAGTGGTTTCTAGGGTATTTTTTTTAATTAATTCTTCTTTATTAGATCGGAAATAATCGAGATTCTTGTTAAGTTTTATGTGTTAAAGCTGCTCTGGACCTGCAGTTTTGTTTTTGTTGCAACTGAAGCCCTCGGCTGCTTGAATCTAGCAGGTGGAATTCAAGCGTGCTGACGTGGTTGCTTTGATCCTATTCAATTCTATTGTGGTTTGTTTTTTTTACCATTTATAAGTCTGTCTGTTTGATGTTAGGTTTTTGAGCTGATGAATGTCTGGGCTTTTGCACGGCACTCTTTTTGTAACCTTGTTTTTATTCTGATTCTTGCATGAATCTTTACTTCGACGGACGATGTCTCTGTTGTACGGGAAATGTGGGTTTGTTTTGGTGGAGTACGAGCTAGATATGCGTTAATCTTGGTTTTGTTTTCAGAAACAATTTAATGCTCTTTTTAAGTACCCCTTTTTTTAATTTTTCCCTTCTCTTTACTTCGCTTCCAGCATGTCATCTGGCTGTTTCGGGTGGATACACCCGCGTTTTTGCGTAGGAGTATATGTTAAATTGCTTACATTGCACTTTGTCTTACAGATTTATTTTTAAGGCGTTGCTAAATTTTGGGCTGTACTATCTGTGCTGATTTCAATGAAAGTTAATTTTGGGTGATTGTCTTTGTCTCGTGGTACAGGGAAGGGCATTAAAGTGGAAAAAGGATCAAATTTTCTCTAGCAAGTATCAGATCTTTAAACGATGTCCAGGATTCCCAAGTTGAAGATTGAAAAGACTAAAGTGAAAGTTGTCTTCCGTCTACAGTTCCACGCTACGGATGTAAGCTTTTGCTTTTGTATGAGCTGTTTAATGTTTTTATTTATTTCTCATTAGTTGCCTTATGGAACTATTTTCTGGGTTTGTCATCGTAGATAAGACGGCTTTTCATCTTAATTGCTATCTTGATTTGTTACAATTTTTCGTTTGAACCAAGGAGGTTTTCACGTGTTTTACTTGTAATTTAAAATTTCCTATAGTTAAAGCTTCCCAATTTTTCAGTATTGCTTCGAAGTAGCTTACCGGATATCGTTTCCGTATTTAAGAACTTCTAGTTACTAGCTGTTATTTTGGGCATCATTCTGTTGGGGGCGTGTTTTAGTGTATACGGAAAGTTTGTAGCATCCATGATGCCATGCGTCTGGCAGCGTCTACATTTTCTTAATACACCATGTTTTACATATTCTCACTATAAACTTTGATACGTGAACAATGAATGAAGAATTAACAAAAAACAATGATGTCTGGCATTACTAGCCATAGCTCCACATTTCTATTATAAGACTTTCAATGCACTTTTTACCTTGCCGCTGCTGATTTTGATGTATTGCATTACAAAAAAACTTCAAGGTTGTGTCTCCTATTGAATGTGGGTAGTAGGTAATTTTAATATATGTCTGATTATTATGTTGTGTTCATTTGGTGCATGACTTAACCTAATTTTATTTAAATTGCTTCTTTGATTAATATTTTTGTTTGGTCTAATTATTATTTAATATTGTTAGTTGACACGATGAGGCAACCTATTGTTGATTCTCATTTGATGTGGGATGACTCTGGTTCTAGGATTTAGTAATATAAAGTTCAGGGGAGAAGAAACAAAAAAGCCATAATCCATAGATTCTCAATTTTAGTAAAATTGACCACTTTTAATTCGAAGTTACATGTAATTTTTAATTGTTTCAAATTTTTATTTAATATATCAAAATTTAAAGTATTATAAGAATTTAGAAAACAAATATAAAACTCTATCGTGATTAAGATTCATAATATTGCATACATACTGATTATTAAAATATGTTAGTAGAAGAACAATATTTAAGAGCACTAAGTGGAAGATCTGGCCTCATTCCAATACAAAGTGATTTATTATCTTGAAGCGGTCATTAAGATTTGTGAAGTGTTGAAGAATCCACAAAGTAGGCTCATATTAATTCACCATGCAATGTTTTATTATTTTTCATGTCTTAAATATGTAATTTACAAAGACTCAATTAAAAAAAATCTCAGAAACTTTTAATATCTACTCAAAACTGAAAAGCTCAATCTCAAAATAACAGAAATGCCAACTTTCTAAATTCATGAAACCAAGTTTTATCAAAGTTTTCCTTTTTTCTATGATGCATGATTAGGATGTTGCCTTAGAAGGAAGACAACATAGAGGTATTATATATCTCACCCAATATTAATAGTGCAAAATAAAGCTAAAATCCCAAATAAGAAGGTAGGCATTGAAGCCAATTCTTGATCCAAGCTGTAGCCTTGAGGGAAGGCACCCATTGTTTGCTACAATGATTCGTCCTGGGGATTTTGCATCTCCAATTCATCTTACCATAAGTCTACTTCTTAGTCTTTTGGCTTCAATTTTATATACTTATCTAATGTTGTATTCTTATCTTTTACTGCATATGTGAACACTACTAAGTATTTTTTCAGTTAGCTAATATTTAATAGATGTCACTTCGAGTATTCTTGTAATTTAATCATTCTTTAATTTATACTTTATAATATTGTCACATATCCAAATCAGCAATGTCATTCCTTTTTTGTAAGTTTGACATTAGTGACTTTTTTTTTTTCCGTATAACACTGCTAGGGTAATTATAGTTTTATAAGTTTGTTTTTAATTCTTAGTAATATCCATTTTAGTATATAATATTTTCAAGACAGATCTCTATTTAAATAACCCAATCATAACTTTAGAAGTTATATCATCATTTTTTTCATTTTGTATAATAGGTTCAGGAGACTTAAATCTATTACATCTTGGTATCACTTATCCTCTAATAAGATTGTTTGATAATTGTTAATATTACAATACTAAAATTATATGTTACTTATTATGTTTTTTTTTTTGTATTTATTCTAAACTTTCTATTACTAAACATTTTTTATTGCTCTGAATTTTCAAATTTTTTTTTTCAGTGAATCTATTGCTTATTTGAATTATGATCTAATATTAATTGACAACTTTTAATATCACATACAGTAAATCTTCCTATCACAATTTTATTCTAAGTTCTTCTTTAAAATACTTCCTTCATTGTAGAATAGCTTGTGTATAACTTTATATTTAATATTTAATGTTTTCATCTCTTATCACTATTGATAGAATTTTCTTCTTTTCATAATCTCATCAGTTAAATCTATATAGTTAAGATTTAAAATTGAGATGCTCTAGTTCTAACTTTTTGCTCTTTTGTTCACCTTATGTTTTATTTAAAATACATTTGAATGTTTTACCCAATTTTACATTGTTTAACTTCATCGTCTTCATTCCTTGTGCTTCTCGAATGTGGCTATAAGCAATATTTTTTTTATCTGATTTCTTCAGATTCCGCAGTCAGGATGGGACAAGCTATTTGTCACATTCACCCCTACAGATTCAGGGAAAGTGGCTGCAAAAACAACCAAAGCTAGTGTGAGGAATGGAAGCTGTAAATGGTCAGATCCAATTTATGAGACTACAAGACTTCTCCAGGATCCAAAGACAAAAGATTATGATGAGAAGCTCTATAAGCTTGTGGTGGCAATGGTATTAAAGCCTCCTTGGACATGTTCATATGCTAAAATATCACATATGATCCAGTTATTTACAGAGAACTTATTTTGAAGGTTATCTACTGTAATGACGTTTTACCCGCGTCTTACTCTGCTTTGATGTATAATGTATTATTATTGGCTGAGGTTTCTCTGACCTTAGACTAATATTTATTTTCAGGGCTCTTCTCGGTCTAGTCTGCTTGGAGAGGTTATCATCAATCTTGCTGACTTTGTAGATGCCTTGAAGCCTTCCTCCGTCGCATTGCCCTTACGTGGCTGTGACTTTGGCACAATATTACATGTGAGGGTGCCTCCCAATTTCCAAGATTCATTGTATTAGATTTCCTTGCTCTATATACCAGATTTAGAAATGTAATTCAATTATGAATATCAAAGACTTATCCCAACAACTGGAATATACCTCATCATGAATAATTATGTGCATAAGGTTTCCTTCTCTCTGCTTATACCGTTCAATTTTTTATTATTTTTATGTTTTATTTCAGGTGACTGTGCAACTTTTAACCTCCAAAACAGGGTTCAGGTAGTGGTATCGTAAACATTCTGAACGTTTTGAGAAGCTTTTGTAGTTGCAAAACATTGACTTAATTTCTGATTCTGCTATGTAAGAGAATTTGAGCAACAAAGGGAGACTAGCGTAAAGGGCTTTCAGGCATCTTCTGGCAAGAGAATTCATGACCCTAAGGAGGTTATACCCGCTTCTTCTGGTACCAGAGAACACATAGATAAGGTTAGGTAATCTTTTGAACGTGCCACTTTTGGAGTAACCGTTTGATATTAACTGTTTACCTGAGAATTACTTCCTTGATTTCTGAATTCTATATATTCAAGTATTTGCAAAGAGCACAATTGTTTGTAGCATTTATATGCGGCATATCACTAAGTGAAGAAAATAAAATGCTATTTATTTGGGTCTATGTATGAATTCACTCTCTTTTTTATTATTAATTTTGTCTATCTGATTTATTCAAAACTTCAAATTGAAGGATGAAATAATACTTGTTAATCACAACATTTGTTGAATTTCATGTTGTTTTGGATTTTTCAAAACTCCATAGACATGCAGAAGAGAAATGCTATCCCCACTCGGACCAAGACATCACTTTGACCAAAACTTTATCCTTTTGTTCAAATAACAATTAAGGTGAAGCAGGGTCAGGAACAACGAATCTATTTATGATAAAAAGATCCCTTTTGCAAGTTCGTTATTACGGGTAGTACTACAAAGGATCGAACTAATGACGTATACACTACTTGAATTATCAATGTAGATGCTACATAGAAAGTCAGTCATTCACAACCACTGATGAAGGATTCCTCGAAAAGTTAAGGATTAGTAATCCTTTTTAGAAATCAAATGGATTCGGTCTTATAGTATTTTACTAGTTTGGTTTTTGAAAGTGATATCGCTTTATTCCTCGATAAACCAAACAAATTTAGTTCCGTTCAATCCAATATATGAAAGACAAAATGATACTAGAGTTAACCTAAATCACAATAGAAAGACAATTATTATTGCTAAAATTCAGTATTATTGCTAAAATTCAGTAGGGTTGCAAACAAAAACTCTCGACAATAGGAAAAATAAAAGCATGACATAAAAGACACCCGAGGGTGAGGGCAAGGGTGAAGGTGGTGATACCCTGCTGGACAGCAGGTGGGTAGTGGATTGGAGGATGTCGCAGTGGCAGGAGGCTGGTGTGGAGTGCGGCAATAGCAAGGGTTGTTGTTGAATGGGAAGGAAATCGGTGACGAAAGAGAGATGGGCTGGCTGGGAGTAGGAAATGGTTGGGAAGTGGTTTCGACCCAACATGAAGACAAAGGTGGCATGCGACCCAACAAGAAGGTTGGAACATGGGATCGTAGTGGAGTTGCGGTACAACATGTTGGGCGGCAGATTAGTAAATGACAATAATGGAGCGGCTGGAGGGTGACAGTAGGGAAAACAGGGATGATGACAGCAAGGAGAAATGATAAGATACACACCACCTAGTACTAGTTACATCTGGAGCACATTTTCACCTCTAGAAACAACCCTAGAAAGGGAAAAGGGCACGTCGACAGCTGTCCAAATAGAAATCTCACACAAAACCAAACTCTAACATAGAAAATAGTCGATTTATAATAAAATATAACTAGGAGGGGGGA